TTATTTGTGAGAGGGAGAGAGAGCACAGAGGGAGAGTGAGGGGGAGAAACAGACTCCCCACCGAGCTGAGAGCCTGCCATGGGGCTCCACCCCAGGACCCTGAGATCATGACCTGAGCTGAAGGCAGACGCCTAACCCACTGTGCCACTGAGGCGCCCCTGAATCTTTATTTTTATTATTTATTTTAAAAATTATTTTGAGTATAGTTGATACACAGTAGTACATTAGCTTCAGGTATACAACATTGTGATTCAATTTTTTTATACATTATGCTATGCTCACCACAAGTGTAGCTACCGTCTGTCACCACAGAAGGCTATTATGATGTCATTGACTGTACTCCCTATGCTGTGCCCTCTAGTCCTGACTTACTCATTCCATAACTGGAAAACTATATCTTCCATGTTGCCCCCCCTCCGCCCCCGGCGAACATCAGTTCTCTGTATTTAAGGTCTGATTCAGCTCTTTGTTTGTTTATTCATTTTTTTTTGTAGATTCCACATATGAGTGAAATTGTATGGTATTGGTCTTTTTCAGTCTGACTTAATTTCACTTAGCTTAATACCCTCTAGATACATCTATGTTGTTGCAAATGGCATAATCCCACTTTTTTTTTATGACTGCATACATTCATTGTGTGTGTGTGTGTGTGTGTGTGTGTGTGTGTGTGTGTGTGTCTACACACACCTTTCTTCCTTATCCATTCGCCTATCAGTGGACACCTAGGTTGCTTCTACATCTTGGTTATTGGAATTACTTCGAGGGTGCATATGATGTAAGAAGGATGTTAGGGTTTGAAGCCAATGTCCAGGAAAGAATTCTTGAGATGTCGTTGGTGCAAAACGGGGTTTTATTAAAGCTTGGGGACAGGACCCGTGGGCAGAGAGCTACACTGGGGTCATGAGGAGTGGCTGATTATATACTTTCAGGTTGAGAGGGGGTTCGGGAAAGCATAAGTCTAAGGGATTTTGGAAGCAGGGTTTCTAGGACCTTGAGGGGCTAGCTATTGTTAGGATAAGGTCATTTATTAATGTTTGGAAAAACCTGAGTCATGAGACCCTTCAAATGTATATCGGAGGGTCATATGCTTGGGGGATGACTGCCAACAGGTATCTTGGGGGGTAGAGATAAAGGAAGTTTCCAAAAGAATTTTTATATGTTAAAGTAGACTTACAGGATCCTGGGGGTCGGGCTAAGATTGCCTTTTGCCCTTAGCAAAGTATGAACATCGAGGCAGTTGAGTCCCTAGAGGAAGGTCACTCTGCCTATCTGCCTGTTTCAAGGACCTGTTAATGGGTTGTAAGTAGTAAGGAAATTTAATTTTTCTTTTGCCTTTGTTTTCCCACATCACATACATCTTTTCAAATTTTTATTGTTTTCATTTTCTTTGGGTAGATGCCCAGCACTGGAATTGCTGAGTCATATGGTAATTCTATTTTTAATTTTTTGAGGAAACTCCATACTGTTTTCCATGTGGCTGCACCAATTTACATTCCCACCAGCAATGCACGAGGGTTCCTCTCTCCACATCCTTACTGACACTTGTTATTTCTTATCTTTTTGATACTAGCCATTCTAACAGGTATAAGGTGATAGATATCTCATTGTAGTTTTGATTTGCATTTCCGTGATGATGAGTGATGTTGAGCATCCTTTCATGTATCTGTTGGCCATTTGTATGTCTTCTTTGGAAAAATATTTATTCAGGTCCTCTGCCCATTTTAATTGGATCATTTGTATTTTTGGTGTTGAGTTGTGTAAGTTCTCTGTGTATTTTGGATATTAACCCCTTATCAGATATATCATTTACAAATATTTTCTCCTATTCAGTAGGTTGCCTTTTGGTTTGTTGACTGTTTCCTTTGCTGTGCAGAAGCTTTTTATTTTGATGTAATCCCAATAGTTTATTTTTGTGTTTGTTTCCCTTGCCTCAGGAGACATATTTAGAAAAATGTTGCTAAGGCCGACGTCCAAGAAATTACTGCCTATGTTTTCTTCTAGGAGTTTTGTGGTTTCAGGACTCAATTTTGGTCTAATCTATTTTGAGTTTATTTTTGTGTATGGTGTAAGAAAGTGGTCCAGTTTCATTTTTGCATGTAGCTGTCCAGTTTTCCCAACACCATTTGTTGAGGAAACTTTTTCCCGTTGTATACTCTTGTCTCTTTTGTCATAGATTGATTAACCATATAAGCGTGGGTTTATTTCTGGGCTCTTTATTCTGTTCCATTGATCTAAATGTCTGTTTTTTGTGCCAGTACCACACTGTTTTGATTATTATAGCTTTGTAATATAACTTGAAATCTGGGATTGTGATACCTCCAGGCTTGTCTTTCTCAAGATTTGTTTGGTATTTTGGGGTCTTTTGTGGTTCCATACAAATTTTAGTATTGGTTGTTCTAGTTCTGTGAAAAATACAATTGGTATTTTGATAAGGATTTCATTGAATCTTAAACAGTTACTCTTTTTTTATGTTATGTTAATCACCATACATTACATCATTGGTTTTTTTTACTTTAAATTTTTTATTGTTATGTTAATCACTATACATTACATCATTAGTTTTTGATGTAGTGTTCCATGATTCATTGTTTGTGTATAACACCCAGTGCTCCACGCAGAACGTGCCCTCTTTAATACCCATCACCAGGCTAACCCATCCCCCCACCCCCTTCCCCTCTAGAACCCTCAGTTTGTTTTTCAGAGTCCATCGTCTCTCATGGTTCGTCTCCCCCTCCGATTTACTCCCCTTCATTCTTCCCCTCCTGCTATCTTCTTCTTCTTTTTTTTTTCTTAACGTATATTGCGTTATTTGTTTCAGAGGTACAGATCTGTGATTCAACAGTCTTGCACAATTCACAGCACTCACCATAGCACATACTCTCCCCAATGTCTCTCACCCAGCCACCCCCTCCCTCCCACCCCCCACCACTCTAGCAACCCTCAGTTTGTTTCCTGAGATTAAGAATTCCTCGTATCAGTGAGGTCATATGATACATGTCTTTCTCTGATTGACTTATTTCACTCAGCCTAACACCCTCCAGTTCCATCCACGTCATTGCAAATGGCAAGATCTCATTCCTTTTGATGGCTGCATAATATTCCATTGTGTATATATACCACATCTTCTTTATCCATTCATCTGTCGATGGACCTCTTGGCTCTTTCCACAGTTTGGCTATTGTTACATCATTAGTTTTTGATGTAGTGTTCCATGATTCATTGTTTGCGTATAACACCCAGTGCTCCATTCAGTACATGCCCTCTTTAATACCCACCACCAGGCTAACCTATTCGCCCCACCCTCCTCCCCTCTAGAACCCTCAGTTTGTTTCTCAGAGTCCATAGTCTCTCATGGTTCATCTCCCCCACCGATATCCCCCCCTTCATTTCTCTCTTCCTACTATCTTCTTTTTTAAACATATAATGTATTAATTGTTTCAGAGGTACAGGTCTGTGATTCAACAGTCTTACACAATTCACAGTGCTCTCCATAGCACATACCCTCCCCAGTGTCTATCACCCAGCCACCCCATCCCTCCCACCCCCCCAAC